TTCATTATCATTATCGTTATCATTTTTATCATTATCACTATTATTGATATCATTATATATTATCATTATCACCATTATTACCAATATTATCATCATCGTCGCTATCATTATTATTATCATTATTGTAATTGATATAATTTTATATTATCAATATCATCATTATTATCAATATCTGTTTCATCATCATTATCATTAATATCATTACTCTTATTGCCATTATTATTGCCCTTATCATTATCACATTACCATTGTTATCATTAATACTGTTATTATTTTCATTATCATTATCATTATCATTATTATAATCATTATTATTATCATAACTATTATTGTTGTTTTTTTCACGATCACTAGTATTATCTTTACTATTATTTTTATCATTATTATTATCATTATCATTATATTATCACTGCTTTTATTTTTTGTTGTTATCATTATTCTTATAATCATCATCCTTATTAGCCTCAGTATTATCATTATTACCATTATGGTCATAATAATTATCATTTTTATCATTATAATCACTATCATCATGGTTATCTTTATTTCTATTATGATAATGATTATCATCATCATTACTATTATCATTATTATCATCATTATTATCATTATTATCATCATTATTATCATTATTATCATCATTATTATCATTACTAATTTCATAATCAATATTATCCTTGGTACCATTTATTGCTATTTTCATTATCATTATCATTATTATCATTGTTATTTTCATTATTATTACCATCATTTATACTGTTATTAGCATCATTATCAACTTCATCCTCATTATTGCTGTTTTCATCCTCATCATCATTATCATTATTATTATTGTTATCATTATCACTGCTATCGTCATCGCTATCATTGCTTTACTATCATTATTGCAATCTTTATTAACATCATTACTAACATCACTACTATTACCATTATCATTATTATCATTATCATTAGTATTATACTTGTCATTATGATTATCATTGCTATCATTATTATCATTATTAGTATTATCATTATCATCATTGCCGTTGTAGTTATCATCTCTATTATTATTATTATTATTATTATTACCATTATTATTATCATATCATATCACCGTTATCATTATCTTTAAAATTATCATCGTTAACATCATCAACCATAATTACTTCATCATCTTCATCATCATTATCATTATTGTCAATGGGGCGGACAATTTCCCAAGCGAGAGATCAGCCTGCAGTCGAGAGGGTTAAGTGTTGGCTTAATATAAATACACTTTACGAAGGGGATACAACAGCGACGTCCACTTCTGCCGTCAGTGGGACACGGGTCAGCAGGTGACTGGTCAGCTGTGCGTATTGTCTTTCCTTCTGCTGATG